TGTCCCAGAATACAATTAATGGAGTTCCAGAATACGGTTCATGGTGTCCCAGAAAACAGTTCATCGTATCCCAGAATACAATTCAGTGTCCCAGAATACAGTTCATAGTGTCCCAGAATACAGTTCAGTGTCCCAGAATACAGTTTAGTGTCCCAGAATACAGTTCAGTGTCCCAGAATACAATTCATAAATTCCTATTATACAAGAAGCAATAAAAAATTGTTTTCATTCTGTGCCCCCCCCGGCCCGAAACCAAAGACAATTGAACCCGGTATCGAAAACCAAGTGTCAGGTATTTTCGTAGAAACTAATTTTTTTTTTAAGAATTACCATTTCATGTATATTTTCTTTATGTTGTCTATGTGCTTTCTTTCTCGTAATCCACAATCCACAAAAATGTCTAGACCCCCATAAGGAAACTATAGAGAGTTTCATTCAACAATATCTATATAAAATCCGGCTCTGTAAATTTTTCACTGTACACAGTTAGAAAATTCTTAGCGGCATCTGTAATTTAGATAAAGATCGATTCTATAAAGACGACAATTTTTCCACTTTCTTGGTCTTCCCTGTAGTGTTTATAATAACTAAAGCTCTGGTAACCTTTGGGTAAAGAGTTAATATCAGCATGAAAATGGGCACCAAATAATATAACATAAATGGTTACTTTGTAGTAAATGCCCTACTCCATAAAAAGTCTCTCAGACCCGTATCAATCCAGTTACAACTCTATCTAGAACTCAAGGTAACTATGTTTCAAGCATAGAGAATAGAATATATAGAGAGGAATTTACTGGAAAAAAGTGTAAAACGGCCATTTTGTTGTACTGTTTCCATACTGCAGGTGTACTTCACATATTTATGCTATATAACCTGTTGGGCCCTGGAACATAATTTCATAGAAAATCTAAAATTATTGTTAAAAGAAAACCAAATCATGAAATAGGCTGGCTTCATAATTGACCAATGATCATTTCACATAGACTCTATGCCTTCCACTTTACAAACAATGATTTTCCGTTATAACTATAAATCAAATGATGTTTTTATTCACCTAATTCATTGTAAAGTTTATTTAACAGTTTAAAAAATTCGAAATTGAAATGGATAGTCTAGGGAACATACTGTATTAATGTACTCTACTGCATATAATTTGTGAACATTTAAATGATTTGTACACTTTGAACTCCCTTTCAGGCTGAAAGGGACTGAAAAAATTCATACCGAGAGATTCTTTTAATTCCTCTCTATATATTCTATTCTCTATGGTTTCAAGATACAACTCAATACCTCACGTTAATCCACGAGGCATAGAACTATTCAGTTCTGTAATATGGTGCCAATCCAGAAATATACTTCCTTATTCTCAGGTATCTATGTTTCAAGATACAACTCAATCCCTCATGTTAATCCACAAGTCATAGAACTATTCAGTTCTGTAATAAGGTACCAAACCAGGCATATACTTCCGTATTCTTACAAGATACAACTCAATCAGGATATCAAGTATCACATGAATACCATAGCCAATATCAATCCGGATATGGCTTTGTCTGTATTCTCAGTTATCTGTCTTACAAGATACAACTCAAGCAGGAACTCAAGGTTTACAAGAATACCATAGCCAATATCAATCCGGATACGGCTTTGTCTGTATTCTCAGGTATCTGTGTTTCAAGATACAACTCAAGCAGGAACTCAAGGTTTACAAGAATACCATAGCCAATATCAATGTGGATATGGCTCAGTCTGTATTCTCAGGTGTCTGTGTAACAAAATAAAACTCGTGCTTACTATAAGCTATACTCAATCTATATCAATGCAGATAAGACACTGTTGTATTCCTCATGTATCTGTCTTACAAGATACAATTCCCAATCTATATCTATCTTTTAAGAAAGTGATTCAGGACGCTTCTTGTTTGCTAACTAAGAAGAATTACTCTCACACTGTAATCAAAGCGGAGTATTTTCGAACTAACGTGTATTTAGATATCTATGTTACAGGTTAAGTTAATGTACGTATCTACAAGATCAGCGCAGATACATATAAGCGTAGTTAAGCCAATCACTGACGTAGTTAAAAGCTAATCACAATACAGGTTTGACGTATTTACAGACGTAGCTAGGCTAGGTTAAACGCATTACAATTTTTGCAACGGAGCTTATCTTTTCGCTCTATTGAGACAAAACTGTCATGGCAGCTACCTGGACTGATCGCAGCGGTCCTCAAAGAGCAGCGGTTGGATTAAGTAACTAACATGATGTTCTGTATGTTCCTATAGTATAAAATAAGATAATATCAACGCCTCTAAAACACCGTTCAAGGTCTCAAAATGATAATTGCATTTAGATTTACAGACAATGTAACGTAATATATCTTGGTATGTTTAGGTCAACAAATATTAGAAAAAAGACAATATCTTCCAAATTATTCGTTAGAAAAATATTTCAAGGGTACCGTTGTAAATTGGGCATTGTGCATTGAGAATCAATTGAAAATGATGCTTACAGTCCCTTTAAATATATTTTTTAACTTTAATAATTTATTTTAATTAAATTTTACAATATTTTAAAATTTCAATATGATATCAGATGGAAAAATTTTGATACTTGATCTTCAATTCCTTGTCCATCCTTCAATCATACTTTGGCTAATTTTGAAAATAAAAATAAATGAATTTTTTGGATGTTTTCTGCAGCTAGCCAAATTGCAGAGGCAGAACTATTTTTTGGGCCCTGTATCTATATCCTTTCTTGTTTGTTTTTAAATTTTAATCCAGTCATGTTACTGAGTTAGCTCCTGCATTCCTAGCATTCATAACATACTTTCAATAAAATTTTCTTGATGGAGGGGAGAGGGGTGAGGGGGGCGTTTTACACATTTTCCAGGTTTTTATCTCGAGTAGAACATAGAGGGGGGGGGATGGGATCCCTTTAAATATATAAACAATCGATTGTATTTGCAAATTTCTACTTATTGCAAGGTAAATGCATGCAAAAATAAACATACACTATTTTTTCATTGCACACGAATCAATAATATTTCCACAGGGAAAATCTGTATAAAAAAATTATCTAAAATTATTAGAATTTGATAATGATTTTTATTTTTTATTTTTAAATCCATATTTAGGTTAAAAAAGTTGAATGTCCCTTAAAAATGCCTAACCTTGGAGTTAAACAAACTTGTGCAAACATTAATACATCAATAAATATTGTTTTATTGGTTCCAGGAAGTACCAACACAAGCTTGTTATTAATTCAAAAATTAGATAATTAAATTTATTTTCATAATTTTTTGGTTTTTGATCTCTGAACTGAAAAGATTTAATTAAGCTAATTATATAAAAATAAATATATAAGAAAACTAATTTTAAAAATTTAATAATTTGACAAAACTATTTTGATTTAATTTTAAATTTTTATGTTAAACCATTTAATTTAGTTAATTAAATATCTAAATTATGACAATGATTATCTAGAAAATTATTAATTATGTTTCTAACAAACTGTTTGCTTTGCCAGGCACTAGTGCAAACAAGGGTTGGATATTTATTTTGTGTAAACCCTGTAAGAAACTCAATTGCATGAAGAAACGGAGAATTGGATGTTATAACAATGTGGCTTAAAGTTCTTCGATTTTCATTTATCATATTACTGACAGTTTTGTTTATTTACTTTCAGGTTCTATAAGTTTTTTAACATTTTAAAATTTGATTAGTTTTGAAAAAAGTCCTATCACTAACAAAAAAAACAATATTGAATAATCTGATGGAGTTTGAATAAAAGAATTTGTTAGAATCTTAAAAAAACTTTTTCCTTAAAACTTTAATTGAATTTCATAAGACTTTAGTAAAAACTCATAAAACCTTAATAGAATTTCAAAAAAATTAAGTAGATTCCAAAACCTTTAATAGAATCTTACAAAACGTTAAAAGAATTTTATGAAACTTTAATAAAATCTCATAAACTTTGATCGAATGTCATAACTTTGATCGAATGTCATAAAACTTTAATAAAATCTAATAAACTTTGATCGAATGTCATAAAACTTTAATAAAATCTCATAAACTTTGATCGAATGTCATATAACTTTAATAAAATCTAATAAACTTTGATCGAATGTCATAAAACTTTAATAAAATCTCATAAACTTTGATCGAATGTCATAAAACTTTAATAAAATCTAATAAACTTTGATCGAATGTCATAAAACTTTAATAAAATCTCATAAACTTTGATCGAATGTCATATAACTTTGATAAAATCTTATAAACTTTGATTGAATGTCATAAAACTTTAATAACATCTCATAAAACTTTGAAAGAATCTTAGAAAACTTTAATAAAATATAATAAAAACCTAGAATAATTCTGATAGAAAAAGCTTTTAATTTTAATTTACCTAATGATATTTAGTGGGACACGAAGATAGACTTTCTACAGGAGAATAAATTGACATTTTTGAAGACAAATTAAAAATACGCACTTTACAGTTCAACTTTACAGTACAACTTTACAGTTCAACTTTACAGTTCAACTTTACAGTTCAACTTTACAGTTCAACTTTACAGTTCAACTTTACAGTTCAACTTTACAGTTCAACTTTACAGTTCAACTTCACAGTTCAACTTTACAGTTCAACTTTTTGACAAAAGACAAGAAGATTAAAAGGTCTGTTCTGTGGACTTAATCTCAAATAATCCTAAATTTATAAAATGGCATTATTATCTTGAAAATTGTTGAATTATGAGAATTTCCCTCATAGTTTCTTCTGCAGAAATGCGAAACTCACTTTTGAATAGAAACCAATATTGAAAACAATCAGAGAAAAACTAATGCCCAATCATTTATCCATGATCAGACCAAGGTTTACAGGTTATCGTTGTGAACCATACATGCCACTCTATAAATGGAGGGTTACTTGTAATCACCTGTACTGTATTTTAAAGAAAAGTAGGATCGATCATAAAGACCACATTGTATATTTTTTGTTTAGGCAATACCGCTGATTAGTAAATTTCTGAGCAGAGACATTGTAACAGTTTCATCTATTTCCACCAATTCTCCACAAGATGCCCCTGCCCTAACCTTCTGTGTTAAAGACAGTAAGATTACATTGTTATTTCTTTAAATAAAATACAAGCTTCATTCTACGAGAATTTTCTCTTTGAACAACCATAAATTGCGCAATTGTTCTTGTTTTTATATTTTTAATATTTACAACAATACTGGGATAAATTCCATTTCCACCCTATGATTAGCTATATTTCAATATTTAATTAAGCGCGTATAACAACATTCAAAAATCCATTTTCGCCGTAACCGCCTGGCTTGTTCTATGCCTGGGATTTACATTGTATCTAGTTTCAGTATTGTAATGTCCCGCGTATCCGCCTGGCTTGTCCTGTGCCTGGGATTTACATGTATCTAGTTTGCAGTATTGTAATGTCCCGCGTATCCGCCTGGCTTGTCTTATGCCTGGGATTTACATGTATCTAGTTTGCAGTATTGTAATGTCCCGCGTATCCGCCTGGCTTGTCTTATGCCTGGGATTTACATGTATCTAGTTTGAAGTATTGTACTGTCCCACGTATCCGCCTGGTTTGTTCTATTTTGTCGGTATTTCAATATTATTAAAAAAAATTGTAAAAAATGTCTATCGGTGAAAAGCGGGCTTACTGTAAAAATCAGACATTTCCTGAGCTAAGGAACTGATTACTTGAAATAAAACTAACTCCAATTTTCTTATCCTGATATATCCGCAACCTGATGGTTTAAACCTTTGATATGTCATACTTTGCCAATTTGATCTAGTTTTAGAATTCATGGTTTGAAATATCAAAAATCTACGTGCAACAAAAGGATGCAGACATGTTAGGATAAGACAATTAGGCTTTCAAAAGTACTCAGTTTTTTTAATTCTGATAATTCCTAAATGTTCTCCTACGCAAGTTGCTTAAAAATAATCATTTTCCAGAACTTTAAACATTCATACTTGATCAAAAATAGGTGGACAGTGTGAATCAGGATTTTACATCTTTGCACTGAGTGTCACTTGAAATTACGGTTACAATCCCTTTAATTTATTGGAATATTTTGTAGGTTACAAAGATTTGCCCCTGGCAGCTGTCGATGGTTCATTCATTGATATCTGTAATAGGTAATAATGAATACAACTATGAGAACAGAGTCCGAACGTAATGAATTTGAGCCGCGTCCCAAATTCGCCAAAAACAGGTTAAAGTTGACCGCCGGCTTAAATCTTAAAAGATTGCATTAAATTTAAATTGGAAACAATCCATATTTGAGCCGTGTCTAAAATTTAAGCCGCAGCTCAAATTCTTGTAATTCGGCCTCTGCATAGCTTTTTAAATTTTCCACTAGTTTTGTTCTGTAACCCTATTTGGTCTATTTGGTTAAAGTAAACAATGTAAAAACTTTTTTCTGTTAATTTACTAACATCCCATTCGTTACCGTAACCTTGCCCATGTTACAACCACAGCTGTTAATATCTTGATGTTAGGAAGAACTTTGATATTGAAGTGTAGTTTTGAAATAGATTGATAATATGTAAGAAAATATTTCACAATTACATACAAAAGATTATTTTCTAAAATCCGTAAGTGATGTGCATTCAGTTAAGGTTCGTTTTTGGCCAATGATTTCATTCAGGGTAAAAACTTGGCATAGAGTAAAAAAACAAATATTTTTAAAATCGTTTCATGAACATTTACTTTTCTTAAACTATGCCAAATATTTACCCTGACAGAAGAAATATCCAAAAACTATTAAACGATGTTTTTCCAATTTTTTAAGATAATGATATTGCAAAATTTAATAAACGTAAAATTTACAAAATAAATTTTTGTAATTTTTAAAGTTTTATTAATTTTTTTTCCTAAAAACGATCCAAAACAATTAACAACACTACAAAATATAAATATAAAAAATTGTATAATCTATGTTGATTTTAGATATATAAGCATTAAATCAATCTATGTAAATTAGTTAAAAGATATTTTCCAGTTCAACGGTAGAGGAGGTGAACGAATGCTATAAAAAATACACCTACAAAAACACAGACTTCATTAAGGTGAAGAATATAGATATTTGAGACAGACAACAAAAATGCAAAAATGTAAAATCAGTTTTTAATTATTTCAACTGAAAGGAACTCACTAGTCACTAATCTTACTTTGTTTTTCCAAATATCTTTACAATAAATATGTTATACAGTGAACTATACAGAAGGAGAACTTCAAAGGATTTGAGTTTTGCCACAAACTCAAATTCATATTTCTTTGCAACCTGATAGTGTAAACCTTTGATATTTGAAACTTTGACTATTTGACCGACCTGATAGAATTCAAAGTTTGAAATACCAAGTTTCATAATTATGTTTTATAAATATTTTATTTTCTATATGTAATGTATGCTTGGGACAAATACATATATTTAGATTTAGATTTAGAAGATCAACAGCAGCGGGTTGCAAAAACATAAAGATTACAAAATCAAAGTACTTTCATGCAACATAACTGGTACGGCTTTGTGACCTCGTTGCTCCTCTAGTTTTAAGATTTAGGATTTCAACCTTTCGTACTTTTAAATTTTTGACATGCTTGATATTCTAAACTTTGACTATTTAATCTTAGAAAATTTACAGATTGAAATATCGACGCCGCTCGTCAACGCAATAAAAGTTCTTAATTTTTAGGCATATTAAAAACTCACTTATATTTTGTGAGAGAGGGGGGGGGGAAGTGATTGAGATGTTTATTTCAAGAATTATATATTTTCTGCTTGACCAGGCTGTAAACGTTGGATTTATTAAAAATACTCCTTTTTTGAATGATCAATACTGGACTTCACATTTTCAAACTGTACGGTTAGGCAGGTATGTATAATAGTTTGATTTTTGTTATGCCACCCCCCCTCCCCCCGCCCCCTCTGGATATCCTTAATCCTGATCGGATAATTAATCTGGAGATTAAAAATGAGAGGAGAACAAGCAATATTTAATCTCGAGATTAAAAGAGTGGATTAAGCATTAATCCCGATATCCACCATTCTAAAGTTTTCAGCTCTGGAAGGGAAAAATTCTCTTCAAAACACAATTTAGGAAATTAATTATGAGAGAAAAATGACTCCATATTCACAAAAAAACTCAAAATATTGTTTTTTTTAGGTCATGAAAATTAACAATCTGAAAATTTGTATCATTATTTTTTTTCTGAAACTTTTTTATTTATTTTTTCAGATGCCATACAGTTCAAATCCCGGTTCAGTTGGGAGCAAACATGGTTAGGTATGGTATTGTACAGGGTTATCCATTAAAGGATAAGACGTTAAAAGACAGCATTAAAGTGCCATGTAAGATTCACAAAGGTACTCTACCAAGGTTTGTCTGATCAAGAGATATCCATCATTTTCTTTGTGAAAATTCATTATTTACATTTGCAATTCTTATTTGGGATTAAACTTTTAAACTTCTGCTTTAAAAAAATGGAAGGAAATTAAACACCTTTCAAATCAGAAAAACGACGGTGTGATTGATCAAAGAAAGTTTTTCAAGGGTACTGTTGTCAATCGGAAATACCCCTTTTGAAAATGGAGGGTCACCTAAACTGAATTTTTAACGACACTTTAGTTCCTTTAAGGGAGAACACCAAATTCGCATCCTTTGTGGGTCCCCCTTAAATATTCGTACTTTGAATTTAGAATTTTTGCGAAAACGAACTTTTAGGCTCATTTTTCAGAGATGCTGTGTTTGCTCTGCTGGATGCTGAAACTGATTTGACATACACCATGTATATTCATGATCCAAACTATCTCCTCATGGCTGGCAACCCTTTGGTCTTCAGCAGAATCTACATTGGTATTTTTCCACAACAATCTTAAAATTTAATGTTAAAACATACAATTGATCATCATAAAACTGCGGAATATGAAGACGATCTCAAAGTAGTCTTTAAGCAAATACATTAAAAAGTAACTTAATAAGTGAAATGAATCTTTGCACAGCCACACTGGTACAGTGGTAGGCAATTCTATCAATACAATGAAGACGACATTCTATTTCGATTTGGATTTAAATCCAGCTGCAAAACAGCATGGATACACATAAACAGAGAGGTCAATGGAAGCTATCGATTAAAAAAGCTTCTCTTTGATTACTTGTAAACTTGTAATTCGAAAAAACCCTGTTAACAATCAACTCTTACATAAAAAGTCGTCTTCGTTGTATTGATAAAATCATTTTTAATCCTTTCTATAGTCTAAAATTCGTGTCGAAAGATTTTTTATATTTTTAACTCTTAATTTTGCTGAACCAAGTTGTCCACATTTTAAATATGAAATATTACACCTTTAGGTGCCAAAGATATACAGGGTGTCCTACGAAGCATGACAGTTGGTGAATACTTTAAAACGTCTTCTTCCGTAGTTTGTAAAGTTGTTTAATACCAAGACGATGATGAAAATGTTATATATATATAGTAAAATTGATTTCAAAGTAAAATATATTCAAGTAAAAGATTTTTTTAACGAAATAAACTGCAACAAGCCTTTAACATCTAATACAGTATATGGAAGACGACATTCATAACTATTTATCAACTGTCATGTTTCGTGGGACACCCTGTATATGAGAATAGAAAATTATGAATTCTAGGCAGGCAATCATTTTTTTTCCCAAACTAATTATTATTTTGTTAAGTTCACAGTAAACTGAAGTCTTCTGGAAGAAATGGATCTGCTGAATATTTCTATTTAACAGCTCATAAACATGAGAAACTAGAATTTGATCCCCTCGGCAGGAAGAAGTGTACTCTGACTCCAAACTACAACTATATGGCTTGCATAGAAGAATACGGGGTAATTAAATAGACTTTTCCTTTACTTTTTCACCAACGGGTTCCCTGGACCAACTTTGGAGCTGCAAAATATCATCACTTGGATACGCTCTGAAGTTTTTAGGCCAAGTGGGCCGAGGAAAAAGAACGTAAAAATATAAAATTTGAAGACGACCGCTGTGAACCACTTCAAGTGATGGGCAAAAACTTCATTTTTTTATTTATAAGTCTTAAAAGGTTCCAAAAAAAGCTCAAAGGTTTTAAAAATAACATACCAAAACGTACCAATCACGATCGTTTTAAAACAATCGTTTTTTGGTTCGTTTTCCCTTTTTATTTTTATGATTCAAATTTTGCAAACTTTATTACAAGCCAACTTTTACAGAGTGCAAAAAATTTAAATACTCGTATGTTCACATTATTTTTGATGTCTTAAAAGTCTAAAAAGCATTTAAGGTTAAATTATTATATAATATTCGGGATTTGTCCCTATTCACCAAATTATGTAATCTAATTGTTATTGTTTTTAGTGTAATTTCGTAATCTTTATGTAAATATGTATACTAGGCTCGTACTATTGGATGTCACCCAAGCTGGGATAGTAATTTCGGGGACTATCCCAATTGCACTACATTGGAACAGTTAAGGTGACCCTAAATAAAGTAGTTTAATTTATATGCAGTAGGTGGCATATGTTTAGAATGTTTATGATATGTTTAGAAAATATGATTGCTACTATGATATGATATGTTTAGGAAGCATATGACATATGACATAAAATGTTTACGAAACATGATGACCTCTATGATATAATATGAATAGGAATCATGATGACATCTTTAATATGATATGTTTAGGAAGCATGATGACCTCTATGATATGATATGTTTAGGAAACATGATGATCTCTTTATTATATAATATGTTTAGAAACCATGATAGGACCTTTATAATATAATTTGATCAGGAATGATGATGACCTCTATGATATAATATGTTTAGGAAGCATGATGGCCTCTTTCATATGATATGTTTTGGAAGCATGATGACCTCTATGACATGATATGTTTAGGAAGTACAAAGTATTATGGCCTCTATGATATGTGTAGAAAGCATGATGACCTTTATGATATGATATGTTTAGGAAGCATGATAACAGCTCTATAACATGATATGTTTAGTTATCACGATGACCTCTGACCTGATATGTTTAGGAAGTAATGGTGACCTAAATGATATGATATGCTTAGGAAGCATGATGACTTTTATGACATGATATGTTTAGGAATCATGATGACTTTTATGACATGATATGTTTAGGAAGCATGATGACCTAAATGACATGATATGTTTGGGAAGCATGATAGCCTCTATGACATGATATGTTTAGGAAGCATGATGGCCTCTATGATATAATATGTTTAGGAATAATATTAAATTCTTTGATATGACATGTTTCGGAAGCTTGATGACCTCTATGACATAATATGTTTTGGAAGCATGATGACCTATATATATGATATATGTTTAGGAAGCATGATGAGCTCTATGATGATATGTTTAGGAAGTATGATGACTATATGATATGATATTTTTAGGAATCATATTAACCTCTATGACATGATATGTTTAGGAAGCATGACGACACTATGATATGATATTTTTAGGAATCATATTGACCTCTATGACATGATATGTTTAGGAAGCATGATGACCTCTTTGACATGATATGTTTTGGAAGCATGATGACCTCTATGACATGATATGTTTAGGAAGCATGATGCCCTATATGATATGTTTAGAAAGCCTGATGACCTCTATGATATTATATATTTTGGAAGCATGATGACTTCTATGATATGATATGTTTTGGAAGCATGATGACCTCTATGACATGATGTTTAGGAAGCATGATGACCTATATATGATATGATATGTTTAAGAAGCATGATGAGCTCTATGATGATATGTTTAGGAAGCATGATGACTCTATGATATGATATTTTTAGGAATTATATTAACCTCTATGACATGATATGTTTAGGAAGCATGACGACACTATGATATGATATTTTTAGGAATCATATTGACCTCTATTACATGATATGTTTAGGAAGCATGATGACCTCTATGACATGATATGTTTTGGAAGCATGATGACCTCTATGAAATGATATGTTTAGGAAGCATGATGCCCTATATGATATGTTTAGGAAGCATGATGACCTCTATGATAGGATATGTTTAGGAAGCATGATGACTTCTATGATATGATATATTTAGGAAGCATAATGACCTCTATGATAGGATATGTTTAGGAAGCATGATGACCTCTATGATAGGATATGTTTAGGAAGCATGATGACCTCTATGACATGATATGTTTAGGAAGCATGATGCCCTATATGATATGTTTAGGAAACATGATGACCTCTTTGATAGGATATGTTTAGGAAGCATGATGACTTCTATGTTATGATAAATTTAGGAAGCATAATGACCTTTATCAAATATACTACAACGAGGACAAAAATACCATCGAATCTCTTACTGGATGCCTTGAACCCTGCAATTACTTGTAAGAAATTATTAATTATTTTATATCATGCACTGTAGGGGACTGTGGCATGAAAAAGAAATATTTTTCTAATCTTATTTTCAAATATTAAATATATTTTTAATCTTATTTTAAAATATCGAATATATTTTCCTATATTCATTTTAAGTGAGTATAAGATAGTGGGAGACAAGCAGAGTTTTATTTTCCCCGATCCGACTTCATTCATGATAGGTATCTGCAGTATATATAAAAAATACAAAAATAATTTATTGAAATATATTTTTTAGGGTTTAATTTTGTATCAACTTCCTATCAAATACTGAAGGTTGGTTAATTTAAATTAAGGGAAGAAATAAAATTAGATAAGAGTAATAAAAAATAAAAAAACAGTAACCAAGAAGGAATAAGATAACTTTTAATCAATATTTTGTTTTCAAAATCTAATCATATTAAAAATTTATTTTACGGTGTTTAAATAAAAATAAATTTATTCTACAGGGTGTCCAAATTAACATGGGAATTCAGTGACGAATTCGATATCGTCTTTTTAAATAATTCTTTGATTTAGTATAGTGATACCTACTGAGAAGCTGTAATCTGTAAGAGTTTCGTCTGCTATGTTCACATTTTGTTTTGACTGCATATGGTTCTACTTAGTAAAACAAGAAAATTGCAGTATACAAACAGAGTAAACTTGTCCATCTTCACTGTATATCTTACGGAGACATTATAGACAAATCTCTGCAGTCTTTTACCCTTTTCATAAAATAAACTCTATCAGACATAATAATATTATAGCTTTTGAAATTAGGTATTACAATGCTAATTCTTAACAAAGACGATATCCTATTCGTCACTGAATTCCCATGTTTTTGGGACACCCTGTATATTAAAATCAATAACTGATATGCATGCTACATATGAACATTGAACAAACTAATTGTGCAATGTACACAGGGTGTCCTCACAAAACATGAGAACAGAAGGACTATTTAAAGATCGTCTTTGAGATCTGAAACAATTTGCGGCTTTTTATTGTCCAACTAATTTACAAGTGAAATTCTTGAAAAATACTCACAAAGCCCTGAGATTTCAAAAATGTGGTCTGACTTTTTATCGCTTTTAAAATTATGGGAGACAGGAAAAAGGTTTGCCTATTTTGTGCTTTCAAAACTACTGAAGAATTTCTTTTAGATTTGGACAATTTCGGTTTTAATGATGAATTAAAATTTGAACAAAATTCTTTATCTTTGGCAATTTTTAAAGCACAAGAAAAGGCAGGCCACGTTTTAGAAATGCCAGGACTAGAGATATTCTTTTATTATTGATTCAAGAACTTAAGTTGAAAAATGAATGCCGCAAATTAAAAGGAATAAAAATATATTCTTTAATGAAAGAACCACTATTTTATGATTTTTGTGAAGGAGGAGCCTCTATATCCGCTTGATTCCTTTGTTGGTGAGTTTGGAGGAGCTTTTGGATTATTCCTGGGAGCTTCTTTTCTCAGGTATAGGAGTTTTTGGATTATAGCTGAGAGCTTCATTTCTCAGGTATTAGAGCTTTTGGATTTATTCTGGGAGGTTCATTTCACAGGTATTGGAGCTTTTGGATTTATTCTGGGAGCTTTATTTCTCAGGTATTGGAGCTTTTGGATTCATTCTGGGAGCTTCATTTCACAGGTATTGGATTTATTCTGGGAGCTTCATTTAACATGTATAAGAGCTTTTGGATTTATTCTGGGAGCTTCATTTCACAGGTATAGGAGCTTTTGGATTCATTCTGAGAACTTCATTTCACAGGTATTGGAGCATTTAGATTCAATCTTGGAGCTTCATTTCTCAGGTATAGGAGCTTTTGGATTCAATCATGAGAGCTTCATTTCTCAGGTATTTGAGCTTTTGGATTATTTCTAGGAGCTTTATTTCTCAGCTATATAGAAGCTTTTGGATTATTTCTGGGAGCTTCATTTCTCAGATATATAGAAGCTTTTGGATTATTTCTGGGAGCTTCATTTCTTCCCCCCCCAGCGTATCCTGGTTTTCAAGTACCCCAGCGGGGATAGGGTTAATGCCTAGATAGCATAATGCCTAGAGAACACAATGCCTGGATAACATTATGCCTAGATAACATAAGAGTGCATTGAATGCCTAGACAATGTATTTAAAAGAGAAATAAAAATATTAAAGTCCTACAGTTTACAAAATGTGGTCTGCCTATTTTGAACATTTGAAATTTCCAGAGATATATTTGTGAAGTCCCCTGAATCACTGTCAATTAATTCCGGGTCTTTCTGATAATTTAACTGTATCAATAAATGTTCCTAAAATTAGGCTACGGTGGAAGGCGATATATAATATCAATATAATGAAGACGACTTTTCAATTTAAGTTTTGATTATTAACAAGCTTTTTTCGAATCACAAGTTTATAAATATTTGAAGATAGCTTTTTAAATCGACAGTTTCTCTTTTTTTCCCATGATGTTGTGTGTCCATGCTGTTCAAAAGATTGATATAAATCAAAATTGAAATCGAAAGTCGTCTTCATTATACTGGTTATTCCCTGTTTGAAATAGGGGAACAATTATTTGAAAATAAACAAACCCATTTTACAATTACAAGTGTGAGTGAGGGTTGAAAATAAACAAACCCATTCTAATACAATTACAAGTGTGAGTGAGGGTTGAAAAGAAAAACAAACAGCGGCAAAATTAAGCACTTTGTTCAAGCATAAATTTATAAAAGAATATTGATAGTTTTTTTTCAATACTTTTCTTAGTATTTACATTTGCATAGTTTTGTTTGACTTCTGGAACTTCCGGTATACTTCCAAAAAATATTTTTCAATTTCCCAAATATTGCGCACACAACTATAGAATCAATGGAAAAATGCAAAGATTCCTTGGAAAAATGCTATTTTGGGTTTAAGATCCATTTAAAAAATCCTATTTGGGAAAAAAGATCCCTTTAAAAAATACTATTTGGGAAAAAAGATCCCTTTAAAAAATACTATTTGGGAAAAAGATCCCTTTAAAAAATGCTATTTGGAAAAAAAATCCCTTTAAAAATGCTATTTGGGGAAAAAGATCCCTATAAAAAATGCTATTTGGGAAAAAAGATCCCTTTAAAAAATACTATTTGGGAAAAAGATCCCTTTAAAAATGCTGTTTGGGAAAAAAGATCCCTTTAAAAATGCTATTTGGGAAAAAAGATCCCTTTAAAAAATGCTATTTGGGAAAAAAGATCCCTTTAAAAAATGCTATTTGGGAAAAAAGATCCATTTAAAAATGTTATTTGGGAAAAAAGATCCCTTTAAAAAATGCTATATGGGAAAAAAGATCTCTTTAAAAAATGCTATTTGGGAAAAAAGATCCCTTTAAAAGCTATTTGGGAAAAAAACACTTAAAAAGGTTACTTGGGAAAAAATTTCTTAATTAATTTCTTAATTTTTTTTATTAGTTTCTGGGATTTACTCGAGTATCTGGTGACCAAAATTTCAAAGCTCGGAAAACTGAAATAATTGGTTTCTGATTAATGTGTTGGATAGAATATGGAGAAATAATGTAGATAACAGTAACTGGACAAAAAATAGCCATTGTTTTTGCCTGTAACTATTTTGCATAATACAACCATAATCATAAACCCGGTATGACATGGTTCAATGGACCAAAAAAATTCCAGAAGAAATTCTGTGTCCTAAACATATTTAGGCATATAAGTTAAATAAATTACAATTTTACTATTAATCAAAAAAACAAAAAACAAAAAACCAGCAACATATTTTGTCCTATGAGTGTATTCTAAAATTTAAACTTAAATTTTCCTTAATAATTGACAAGGTATGAAACAAAATAAACTGCAGTAATTTTCTTTGTTCATGTTTTTGATGTAAAGTTAATCTTAATTTGTATAAATAAATTTTTAAAAATTTAAACGTGTTTTTTATGCAAGGTTACCCATACAGGACGAGACATAAGACCACAGGAAACTCTAAAAATATAACAATCCCAAGTTAAAAATAGTCTCCTGCCTTAAATATAGTCTTTTAACTCTTATTTATTTATTTAGAAAAGAACGTAACACGATTACAGCTGCAGGGAATAAATTATATAATGAAATAGACAATTAAATTTTGTACAGTCGTCTCTGAATTCTCATCCTTTGTGGATAACCCTTTAGTATATATAAATATAGCTGTACAGTGTACAGTGTACAGTGTGCATCATCAGTTCTAATTTTTTACATTTATATCTATATCTATATATATTTTTATCCATTCTTCCTTTCCTTTTATTATATTTATCCATCCTTTACCATAATTATCTTCATCTTTCCTTTCCTTTCATTCTCTCCATCCTTCTTTTCCCCTCATTCTCTTTTTTCTTTCTTTCTCTTAATCCTCTCTATCCTTTTCTTTTCTCTAATTATCTCCATCCTTCCTGATTCCTCTTCCTTCGACATTCCTCTAATTCTCTTCATCCTTCCTTTCCTCTCATTCCTCTAATTCTCGTCATCCTTCCTTTCCTCTCATTCAAATCATTTTTCCTTTCTATTCATCCCTCCTTAATCCTTCCTATCCTCTAATTCTTTTTATTCTTCCTTTCCTCTTGTTTCTATAATTTTTTCTTTCTCTTCCTCTTCTCTATACTTTTTTTCTCTAATTCTCTTCATCCTACTTTTTCTCTAATTCTCTTAATCCTTCCTTTCCTTTCATTCTCTTCATCCTTCCTTTCCTCTACTTCTCCTCATACTCTCAATCATTCATTCTCTCCATACTTCCTTTACTTTCATTCTCTTCATACCTCCTTTCCTCTACTTCACTCCACCTTCCTTTCCTCGCATTCTCTACAACTTCCTTTACTCTCATTCCTCTTGTTCTTCCTTTCTCTTTACCCTCTCTATTCTTTCATTTCTCTAATTCTCTTCATTCTTCCTTTCCTACCAATCTCTTCATCTTTCCTTTCCTCACATTATCTTTGTTCTTCCTATCTCTTCATTCTCTCTATCCTTTCTATTCTCTAATTCTCTTCATCCTTCCTTTCCTTTCATTCTCTTCATTCTTCCTTTCCTTTCAATCTCTTCATTCTCCATTTCATTTCATTCTCTTCACTTTTTGTCATCCTCTCTATCCTTTCCTTTCTCTAATTCTCTCCATCCTTCCTTTCCTTTCATCTCTTCCCTCTTCGACTTTCCTTGTATTCCCTTCATCATTCCTTTCCTTTCAGTCTCTTAATTTTTCTTTTTTTCTTCATTCTCTCGATATTCTTCCTAGTCTCTCTCATTCTCTTTATCCTTTCTTTCCTCTAATTCTTTTCATCCTTCGACTTTCCTCTCATTCTCCTCATCATATACCTTTCTTTTCATTCTCCCCAAGCTTCCTTTCCTTCTCTTCATCCTTCCTGTCCTCTAATTCTCTTCATCCTCCCTTTCCTCTCATTCTCTTCACCCTTCTTTTCCTCTCATTATCTCCATCCTTTCTAACGAAATTCTCTTCATCATTCCTTTCCTTTCATTCTCTTCATTTTTATTTTTACTTCCTCCTCGCTATCCTTTCTTTTCTTAATTCTCTTCATCCTCCCAAGAAACATTTTTACCGACTGTATGGACTTTATTGCCGGCCATAGCGAAGTTGTCGCCATCGGTTTGTAAGGGACTAAATGAATTTCCTCTCATTCTCTTCATCCTTCCTTTCCTCTACGTCTCCTCATCCTTTTCCTCAGTATATTCTTAGAGAACGATTTTTGGACCCCCCTGTGCCCCCCTCCTATCAATTTTGTACATGGGTCTCACCGGAAGTGTTTTAACTTAACCTAACCCGTGGCCGCAGCGCTCGGCCCCCTAGCCTGTCCTAGCCGTAGCGCTCGGCCCAGAAAGTGTCTTAACTTAACCTAACCCGTGGCCGCAGCGCTCGGCCCCCTAGCCCAGCCTAGCCGCAGCGCTCGGCCCAGAAAGTGTCTAAACCTAACCTAACCCTAAATAACAAAAAAAAAAATAATAATAAATTTGCTGAAAAATAAATGGTCATGAACAAAATTGATAGGAGGTGGGGGGAGGGGGGCACGGGGGGGAGTCAAAAATCGTTCACTAGAACAGACCCCTTTTCCTCTAATTCTCTTCATCATTCCTTTCCTTTCATTATCTCCGTCCTTTCTTTCTTATTCTCCTTATCATAAGGAAAGGAAACTGCTCATGTTTCTTGTTTCCTCTGTATGTCTGTGGTGTGTACAGTATAAACCAAACCAAACAAATTCCGCCCCAGTGAAAAGGTAGCGGCCAAATTCTGTTACTAGCACATGCCGCAATGAATTATAAGAAGAGAGATTAGTATATATTTTAGGGTAATGTTACATCGTCTATACGCAACATCCCCCTGAACAGAAGGAAAGGAATGAATGATGAAGAATGAGAGAATCGTTCGAAAGGATGGAGATAATAGAGGAAAAGAAGGGTAAAGAGAATGATGGGGAGCTGATGAAGAGAATTATGAGACCTACTAATTTTCCTACCTACTGAAATATTGGACCTACAACAGCTGTCTTTTTTTTTGTATTATTTGAGGGAGGTTAATTCATTAAGACAATTTCTGGGCCGAGCTCCGTGACAAGGACAGCTGCTGGGGGGCCGGGCGCTGCGGCCACAAGTTAATATAGCAGCTGAAAAACCACGTGCTGGTTATGACTGTATTTAGGTCGGATTATATTAGTATATAGCGGATTTATTAGATTATCAAGCTATAACGCCAAAATACGAACATAATACTCAAAAAACCTATATTTTCTGCTAGAAAACTTTTATAAAAACCTTTTTCATTTTTTAAAAATGATTCATTGTTCTTAAATTTTCTGATTATTAGTCTCTAAAATCACAATATTGATCTATATACACGATCTTAAGATGTGGGACACCCTGTAATTGAAAATGTATCAATATTTTTTCAAAAAAGATGTTTTTAAGGGTGAGCACAACAAAAAAAATTGGTGCCACCCCCCCCCCCCCCCTACACAAATTCTCTCGTACGCCCCTGCCCTAAAACTGGCTCTCTGTCTGTCTTATCATTGCGGCATTCATGAGTAACACAGATTGGCCGCTGCCTAGTGTAAGGCAGGTAGTGTAGTGTATACAATATATACACTATACAGTGTAGCTCCACCAGCAGGATAAATTAGTCATCTGGCGGTTCTATATTTCATGCTAAAAACCAGCTGGAATTAAATTCTTACATTCACACTTTAAAACATTAACTATTTTCCTTATAAACAAATGATTGTTTTTGATTGTAAACCCTTAAAAATTATGTTTTTTAGATATAGTGTCGAAATTTTTTAAGTGAGGTTCGACCGACGACTGTCCAGTGCAGGGCAGTTTGTGATCTATAGGGGGTTTAGGGAGGGTGTTCCGCCCCCTTTCTTGGGGTGCAACATGGCCGGTCATAAATCGTCTCAGGGTAGAAGGGAGATGAGTCGGAAAGAGAGTGAAGTAGATACGGGACAAGATGTAGAAAACTTATGGTAAATATATTCTTTGGTTTCGGGAAAATTGTGTATTATATATGCTGTTATCTAGGTCGACATTGTTGTGTAATGTGTTATTTATTGTTGTTGAATAATGTTGTTTTTAGGTCGATCTTATTGTATAATATTATTGTAATCTAGGTCTATATATTTTTGTATAATTGTTATCTAGGTAGATATAATTGTATAATGTTGTTATCTAGGTCGATATTTTTGTATAATGTTGGGGTCCGTCCTAGTCTACGATTTTTGGACCCCCCCCCCTTCTATCAATTTTGTACATGACCACTTATTTTCCACTGCGCCCACATGATCAACATATTCATGTGTTGCATATGCGATCCATGTACAAAAATCGTTCTCTAGGAAATTACCTAATGTTGTTTTTTAGGTCTATATTATTGTATAATGTTGTTATCTAGGTAGATATTTTTGTATATTGGTGTTAATTAGGTCGACCTTACTGTATAATGTTGCTATCTAGGTCGATATTATTGTATAATGTTGTTATCTAGATCTATGTTATTGTAAATGCTTTTACCTTGGTCGATATTATTGTATATTGTTAGCTAGGTCGAAATTATTGTATAATGTTGTTATCCTTGTCTATATTATTTTAAATGTTGTTATCTAGGGCGACGTTATTGTATATTGTTGTTAACTAGGCCGATATTATTGTATAATGTTGTTATCTAGGTCTATATTATTGTATAATGTTGTTATCTAGGGTGACGTTATTGTATATTGATGTTAACTAGGCCGATATTATTGTAAAATGTTGTTATCTAGGTCTATATTAGTTAATAATATTGCTATATAGGTCGACGTTATTGTATATTGTTGTTAACTAGGCCGATATTATTGTATAATGTTGTTATTTAGGTCTATATTATTGTATAATGTTGTTATCTAGGTCTATATTATTGTATAATGTTGTTATCTAGGTCTATATTATTGTATAATGTTGTTATCTAGGTCGACGTTATTGGCCGAAGTGCAGACCAGTCGAAGTGCTCAACTTCCTACAACTAAAAGTTTACTTCTTCTAGGTATAAATCACATCAAACTTAAAGGTTTTAAAATTTATTATTTATTGTTTTTTTTTGCTCAAAATGAAATTTCTTATACGGTAGGTATGTTTGGACAAAATATAAAACGATCTTAAGATGTCATTTTTTATTCAGAATACGTGTAGATTGAAAAATTACATTAAGATTATAATGAAATAATCATGAATTACGTATTACAATTATATTAAATTATCATGAATTACGTATTACAATTATATTAAAATTATCATGAATTACGTATTAGAATTATATTAAATTATCATGAATTACGTATTACAATTATATTAAAATTATCATGAATTACGTATTACAATTAAATTTTTTAAAATAATTTGGAGATGTGAAACGTGTATAATAGTTTCCTTCTTTTTCATTAGTTTTCAAGGGGTAAATAGAGTATGTCTTGTTTTCAGGGGATAAGGAGTCTGGTAAAACGACCCTAATTGCTAAACTGCAGGGTAATGAGGACCCTAAGAAGGGTTCAGGTCTTGAATATGGATATATTGATGTTAGAGACGAATATAGAGAAGGTGAAAAATATAAACTTTTTTTTCAGCTATTATTTCTTATTTTACTTTTTTACTTATCACACTGCTGGAAATGGGCCATCAGGTTTCAAGTCAAAACACATCAACTTTTTCTTCAAAATATGTCTACTGAGTTATATTTTCAATTTTAAGAAAATGCCAACTAGGGGATTTCCCGCAGATCCATTTTTAAGTTATCTCAGAAATCAAGTGCATCTACAGGTCTAGTATCAAATGTAAATTTCGTTTAACGACTTTAATATGCTTCTTCTGGGGTTTTTTGCGATTTTTTTTAACTGCTTAAAGGGGTCCCCAAATTTTGTAACTTCATGAACAGTCATAAGATATATTGTAGTAAAAAATCAAAGCCCTAAGTCATCTGTCTGACTGACTATATACGGCCTGAAAAAGATTTTTTGATATGATTTTTAAGGATTTCACTTCAAAACCCCTATTTTAGGCAGTACTTTAATAGTCATTCAGTTCACTTTTGGATTTGATGTTGTTGCTAAAACATGTATTTAGACAGTTAAGGACAATTTACAAAATTTGGGGACCCTGCCATTAACAAAAAATATCGGGGGAAAAACAGTAACGCTTGTTTTTAGACCTGAAAATGCACTTGATTCATACAATATGTTAAAGTTAAAAAATGGATTTACTCAAAATTCCCTAGATGGCATTTCCTAAAAATTGAGATTATAATTCATTTTATTTTAACCTACAGGTCGTTGTACTTTGTCTGTAGATTGATTGTTAATAATAATAATAATAATAATAATGATAATAATAATATGATATTAATATTAATATATTCCAATGAAAAAGTTTAGGTGTTTAGACTTAAAACCTGATGGTCCATTTTCAGCAGTGTGTTAAGCCCTTTTCAGCTTGCAAACGTCCCATTCTCTAATTAATTTCAATTCAAAATTTTATTTTAATTTTCTTTTTTCTTAGAAAGTTCTTTAAAGTTTTTATATTAATGCTACAAAGCATATTTGAATGCAAAACGAGTTTCTGAAAACAATTTAAATAATTTCCAGAAATGTGTTCCCAATTTTATTCTTTTTTGCGAAATTGCTTTTCCCAAACCGTGTTTACTACTGTTCACTAAATAATACAAAAATTATCTCTAAGATATAAAGTTACAATGTTACTTTTTGCACATTTTAAGGCTGTAACACCTCTCAGAAAGCTATTTATTGTGTGTATTTTTCCTTTTTCCTCGTTTTCTTAGGCCTACAAGTTTTTTTTGTTAAAATTGAAAGAGGTTTGAACTAAATTGTCAATAAATGCGAATATATTGACACTAGTCTCTACTTTTTATTTCTACTTGATGTTTCTGTAAATCTATAACTGTTCATAACAGATTCCAAAACTAAAAAACTATTTGTTTACTGGTTGCTGGTATTTGGGGTCCGTGAGGAATGTTTTATTTGATATTTTGCTTACAGATATATAGGAGAAAAATATAGTAGTTTAGCGCAAGCTAGCAACGAGCGTCAGGCAATTTATAATTTTCACCAGAATGGGACTTTTAACCTTTTTATACTAAAAAGCTTAATTGAGCGATAAAAAACCTCCATATTAAAAAAATATCATCTTTGAGGATGTGAACATTGTTAGAATTTATACTCCCGGTTACAATTGATTGATTGATCGCTGTCTGGTTCAAACTCCTTTAACTTGATTATTTCTAGATCACACTCGTCTTAGTCACTGGATCCTTGACGGAGATACTTCACACACAAACCTTCTCACCTTCGCTCTGACTGAAGAGAACTACGCGGATACCACCGTCCTACTTTGTGTATCCATGACAACCCCCTGGAATATTATGGACCAGCTTCAAAACTGGGCCAGCTTGCTACAGGTAGAAGAACTGTAAGTGTAATTTCAAGTGACCCTCCACATCAAGTTGGCAATGCCCGATTTACAACGGTATCTACCTTAAGAATTAATTTTTATGATTTAAAGCGACAATATTTTTCACATTAGATAAAGGTATCAATGTTACCGTAGTGATTCGGGCATGGTCAGTTTTGCATGGAGGGTAACTTGAAATTACACTTACAGTCCCTCTTAATAAAAAACTTATTTTTATTTTGATTTATATAATATTTTATTCATTACTTTTATTTACTTTTTGGAACCTTTAAACCTGCGTCTGGGCAAAAATGTTAATTATATCCTTGCTTTTCTATCTAAAAATTGATAATTTTCAATTGTATTTCTAAGTGACTTGCGTTTTTTGAAGAAAGGGTACCGTTGTGAATCTGACATGCATCTTTTTCAGTGTGGGAATCATTTGTAATAAAGTCCACAGTTCCTAAAGGACGGTTTGAATTCTTGTTTGTGTGTTCCAGGATCATATAGACAAGCTCCCCTTGAGTGGGGAGGAGGTGAAGAAATATCAGACAGAGACCTGGCAGCGTTGGCAGGAGTACACAGAACCTGGAGATGAACAGGTACTGTACTGTACTGTACTGTACTGTACTGTACTGTACTGTACTGTACTGTACTGTACTGTACTGTACTGTACTCACGCACTGCACTGCACTGCACTGCACTGCACTGAAAAATTCTTCGTATCCCAACTTACTTTCTTCGCGAGTCAAGAGTTAATTAAGCTGATTTCTGATTCGACTTTACTTTGGATTTGATAGAGCAGAAAATAGAAAGTTGCACTTTTTTCCCAACTATTTTCTCAATTTGTTAGTTTTTCTAAATTGTCCCGTTTTTAAACTCCTTTTAATTTGTATTTTATCTAACGTCCGCTAATAACACTTGAAATCGGGCCTTTTCCGATATTTTCACTTATCCGCAATCTACCTCAGCTAGTGTTTATGTTTCACTTTCAGCTTCAAAATCTAAATTCCAGTTTATTTTGTTAATTTTTGTTAATTTTTGTCTGTATCAGGAGGTTGCATCACCTACGAAGCGAGGTCGAGGACTAGGTGAGGTTGAAGGGGAGCCTGATCTTGAACCTCTACCCGAGGGAACCCTGGCCAGGAACCTCGGCCTGGAGCTCCTGGTGGTCGTCACTAAGACTGACTACATGATGGAGCTGGAGAAGGATTTTGATTATAAAGATGAACACTTCGATTTTATTCAACAAGCGGTGAGATTTTAAAAATTCATATTTAATGATAATAATATCAAGAACTATGAACATGATAAAATGAAATACTCATTATTGAGAAAATTTTCATTTCAAGTAAAAATTTGTAACCTTTTTTTTAAGATACGTAAGTTTTGTCTGCAGTACGGAGCAAGTTTATTTTACACTTCTGTGAAAGAGGACAAGAATTGTGATCTACTTTATAAATATTTAGTTCATAGAATATTTAACTTCCCTTTCAAGGTAAACAGGACAGGACAGGACAGGACAGGACAGGACAGGACAGGACAGGACAGGACAGGACAGTACAGTACAAAACCATACTCAGTCATCAAGACAGGACAGGACTGGACAGAAAGGATGGGACTGGACCGAGAGGGCGGGACGTATGGGACTGGACAGAGAGGATGGAACGGGACGATGGAACGGGACAGAGAGGATGGGACTGATGGGATTGGACAGAGAGGACGAGACATGACAGAAAAGGATGGGACAGGACAGGACAAAACCATACTGAGTCATCAATAGGTTTACAATAAAACAAATTATTTTAGACCCCAGCATTGGTTGTAGAGAAAGATGCTGTATTTATTCCAGCTGGCTGGGATAATGATAAGAAAATAGCAATCCTTTACGAGAATATGCACAGGTACTGCACTTCTACCTTGTAAACCATATTATTTGCAATTTTCGGTATAATATTGCAGATATAGAAAATCCAGCAAAAAATTTCGCGTAATAATTCAAAATTACCTTCGTACATTAACAAGCCCGGCGTTTTTCCCCCACTAAACTCATTTTTAAGACTAAAAAATACTGTGGGTGTTTTTTTTTCCATTGCACTAGGTAAGGTAGAGGATATCGGAACAGAAGATCGGTCTCGGTGATTTAAGAAATATTAAATAGCCAATATCTTTTGTATAACTGAGCGACGGATGTAAAATAAAAAAAATCATGAAAAGATTTGTTTTACATTTTGCAATTTTTAGACCTGCAATTGAGGTCAAAAATAAAAAATTAACAGGTCTTGAAAAAAGTTGAATCAAGCCGAATTATCTCAAAATAATGGCATCGTTTTTTTAATCAAGTTTTTATCAAGCGTGAGTGTTTTTGTGCAAACTTTTATTAATTTCTACATCAAGTTATTTTTTTCATAAGGTAGATTCGTTAGAATATATTTTTAGCATCCCCAAAAGTATGTTTCCATTTTGTTATTTTTAGTGTTCGTCCGGACCAATACTATACCGACGTGATTGCCCGGCCAATGTCCGTGGTCGGACGAAAGCAGCAAAGTTCAAAAGAGCTAGAGGTAGGAAACTTAACAAGCCATTCTTCATATATTTGTATAGATTTTTTATTTGATGATATTTGATGATATTTAATGATAGTTAATGACATATATTGATATTTAAATGATATTTAATGATATTTAATGATATTTAATGATATTTAATGATATTTAATGATATTTAATGATATTTAATGATATTTAATCACATAATGATATTTAAATGATATTTAATGATATTTAATGATATTTAATGACATATAATGATATTTAAATGATATTTAATGATATTTAATGATATTTAATGATATTTAATGATATTTAATGATATTTAATGATATTTAATGATATTTAAATGATATTTAATGATATTTAATGATATTTAATTTCGTAAATTTACAGTATTTTGATACGAAAATTATGCACAGTTAGACGTTTTAATGATTAATCGATATCATCTGTTAAAATATTTGACGTTCTTCAAAAAACGGATAAATCAATACTTAATTTATTGATTGATTGATTGATTGATTTACTAATTTGATTGATTTGATTGATTGATCCAGGTTGTTGCTGAGGAAGAGCAAAACTTCCTTGGTCGTCAGCAGCACCTGCTTCAGCAGGGTGTACCCCCTGGAGGAGGGGGATCAGGGGGGGTTATACCAGCAGGGGTGCAGAAAACACCGGACAGGAAGGTGGTCGGATCCCCAGGGGTTCAGGGGTCACCAAAAAAGGTAAAAAAAGTTAAATTTAAATTTTTTTAAAGCTTATAGCAAAAAATAACAATTTTACATTGAGTTCGGGGGCCCTGGGGGGAATAATTTTTTGAATAATTTAGATTCAATTGAAGAAAAAAAAGGTTTGATTTTATTTTACATTTCTTTAATTTTCATTCTGATCCCATTTTATTACTTAGCTTAGCATTGCTGAAAATGGTTTTAAATATAAAGAATCGAGCTTTTGCTCTAATAAAGAATACCAAATCTCGAAATAATTACTTACAGGGTTGCCCGCAAATGACGGAGTATTATTGACAAAAAAGTTTTTTAAACATAATTGCGTGAAAAGATTTTCTGCTTTAGAGCATTACATTCGGAACCCCATATTCTTGTTTACATACAGTGGTAGGCGATTATATCAATACAATGAAAACAACTTTCGATTTTATTTTTGATTTACATCAAGCTGTTAAACAGCATGGATTGGATACACAGTACGCACAAACATAGAAGTCAAGAGAAACTCAATTTAAAAAGCTTCTCTTTGATCACTTTAAAACTTGTAATTCGAACAAAGCTTGCTAACAATCAAAACTTTAAATAAAAAAGTCTTCTTTATTGTATTGTTTGTTATAATCGCCTACCACTGTATGAATTGTACTGTAGGAGGGAATCGACAAAACCCGATCTGAGGTGCTTCAAATTTTTTAGTATTTCCCCCAGACATAGCAGAACACTTACTTAAGCAAACAATAATATTGGAATTCTTTGATATTAAAAAATGAGAAATTCAACGTTTGAATAATATTTTATTTATCCTATGGAACAGTGGAGACCAGCTGTAAGTTCTATCTACGTAAGATCCAGCTTTTTCTTCCCCAAACACTCTTTATTATAAACATCATTGAATTTTATCAATAAATATTGGTTCTTCGTTAAAGTTGTCGATTATCCGCCATGACTGTTTTATTATATAATAATACGGGGTATTTCGATGATTTTGCGCAGGTTAAAATCCAAAGAGGAACCATTTTAAGATACTACTAATAGATTAAGTTTTTTCAATGATGTTTTTATATCTCACGTCGAGTTATATTTTTTTGGTTTTTGACTGCTAAGCTTTTGTGTAAAATGTTTTTAAACTCACGTGTTTATCACGCCATGTTATGATACTTTTTTGATAAAGTTTAACATTTGATATCAAGTATGGTGGATGGGTTTAATCAAAATGCTTGTATTTTTTTCTTACATTTAAAAACAAATCCTACCAGCTATGTTTTAAGATATGAGATTTTTCCATGTTAAATATGTCTGCTTTTTGGTTCATAATAGTTTTTTTTTTAAATATTTATGACTTGTTATTTTCTGCTTTTTATTTATATTTAATGAGTAATATCCAGCCTTGCTTTTCGATGTTGCATCCGACTTTTGATTTTGCTTTTATAAAAATTTGAAATCTAATTTTTTAATAAATTAATCAATTAGATGGAGGGTACTCCGGGCAAACCATTGGGGGCAAACACTAGCGAGGGCGTTCTCGCGAATTTCTTTAACTCCCTCCTCACGAAGAAGACAGGGGGCGTGTCTCCAGGCCTGGTCCAGTCTCCTGCAACCCTTGGGGGCGGTTCCCCTCAACCTGAGACAGATTGTAAGTTTTATTCTTTTTTAGTTTGATTAACCGCCGATTTAGAGATATGAATATTTTTCTAATAATTTCTCTTTGACTTTTCCACAGTTGGCTTCACGTTCGATCTGGAATTGAACTGAGAATAGGTAGAAAACTCTTCATGTTACAATTCTTCCATTGAAAAATCTTATTTTCAATCCCCCTCTGCATGGATGTACGTCTTCTGAGCTCTCATAACAGCGCATGTTCCGTAGGGGTGTTCATTTTTAGGGTCACTTTTGGTACAGAGATGCAAGGTCGCCAGAAAGTTGCCAAATTTTGCAAGATTTTCAAAAATAATTTTTAAAAAATTCTTAAAATTTTTTTTCAGGGTGCGCCAATTGATCAAAATTTCACCTTTTTTTGTTTTTTTTTTCACAAAAATTGTAATATGCCCATCCCTAATTTGGTTTTCAACATGCATATCAGTTATTAAGGAGATAAACATGTCTAGAATACACACACAAAAAATTAAAACCCTATCTTGACTGGAAAGGTGTGCGCTAAATGGTTTCTTGAACTACTCAAAAACAAAAAACAAATAAATCAATCAATCAATATTTTTCAACATTTTTGGCGCAAGCACTTCTAACCAAGGTAGGGTGTTATTTTTTTTTGTATGATCAAATTAGACCATTTCAGATAATATATCTGGACAGTATCGTCTCCACTTGTCCGGGGGGGGGGCGTGTCCCCCCTCTTTTAAGTAGAAATGGAAGAATAAAATCATAAAAACTCCTCATATACAGTACATTTGTACTTGGTTTAATGCAGTATAGTAGGCAGATACTATTCCTAGAATATATACAGTACATTTGTACTTGGTTCAATGTAGTATAGTAGGCAGATACTATTCCTAGAATATATACAGTACATTTGTACAATTGGTTTAATGCAGTATAGTAGGCAGATACTATTCCTAGAATATATACAGTATAGTTGTACTTGGTATAATGCAGTATAGTAGGCAGATACTATTATTAGAATATATACAGTATAGTTGTACTTGGTTTAATGTAGTATAGTAGGCAGATACTATTCCTAGAATATATACAGTACATTTGTACTTTGTTAAATGCCGTATAGTAGGCCTACTATACTGCATTAAACCAAGTACAAATGTACTGTATATATATATTCTGTGTAAATAACAAATGTACTGTATATATACTTTCCAGTCAAGATAGGGTTTTAATTTTTTGTGTGTGTATTCTAGACATGTTTATCTCCATAATAACTGATATGCATGTTGATAACCAAATTAGGGATGGGTATATGACAGTTTTTGTGAAAAAATTGAAAAAAGGTGAAATTTTAATCAATTGGCGCACCCTGAAAAAAAAATTTAAGAATTGTTAAAAAATTATTTTTGAAAATTTTGCTAAATTTTGAAACTTTCTGGCGACCTTGCATCTCTGTACCAAAAGGGACCCTAAAAATGAACACCCCTAATGCATATTCTCCAACCAGGAATTTATTAAAATCTAACAATAGGACCTCCCCCACCACTTCTTTACTTTTATGTTCACTGTTTAAATGTATGCAAGTTTTAATATAGCCTTAAGTGTAATCAATATTGAGCATTATAACACACAACAAAAATTACTTGGTGGTGATGCATGAGAAGAATTCCTATGAATTTTTTTATTTTGATAACTCTGAAATAAATATTTTTGAAATAACAGATGAACTACAATCTTACCATGTCGCTTTGGGGCCCCCCCCCCCTTAATATTAACAAAATTAGGTTTTAAGTGTTCAAGTTTAAGTTATAACATTTTAATGTGTTAAAAATTTATTCAATAAAAAACATTTCATTGAATCACACATATTTGTGTGAAAATATGTGCCTTATCGGTTTAGCCTTTGTTATGCATGTGCGAAACAAACAATGAGGCAGTTAAACAAGTACATAATTATATTGATTGACAGAATTTGTGTATTTACGATAAATAAGTATTAATTTGTTACATCATGATTTATGACAGCCGTAATTTAAAATTGAGAAAGTTAAATCCTATTTCTCTTAATTAAATCAGTTAATTACTTCAAATAGGTTGCTGCTGCTCAGGCAGCTGAGAATGTTTGGCCGCAGGCTACAGTTAGGTACTGCAACTTCCACAGAGCGCAGTCCTGGTGGAGGAAGGTTCAAAGAGTAAGTGTATTAGTTGTTTAAATATATGTAAACTCCCATTTTTCCCAGATTTTGAGATTCTATGGTGTAAATGTCTCATCAAAACGACAATATCTCTTTTTAAAGTGTTTGATTCACACAACAATTCATATATTTAATATGTTTGATTTGCATAAAACCTTAAGATTTATAAACACAATGTATACGTGTGTATTTTGATAGTATGATGAATCGGTTAAATTTGTAAGCTGTTAAAAATTATTTAATGCAAAATTAGCTAGAAAAGTTAGATTAGAAAGTTTTGAAGCATTAAAGAAATGAAATAATTTACAATAAATTGTTTTAGGGAACTATTATGCAATTTAAAGATAAAAAATTTACAAAAGTCACCATTCTTTAAAAACAGGTGTTTGTTCTTTTTGATGAGCATATTTTTTTTTTAATTTGTTAAAATTTTAAAATTTAATAAATTAAGAGAAACATGCTGATACTTGACAACATGTTGAGTAGCATAAATAGGATAGGGGTTCTGGGGGTGACCTTGGCAACAAGTTCATTGATTTATAATAATTAACACATCGTCTACTCTAGGTTGGATTATCCGGTGATTATCTAAATCCCAGGGTCCACCGGGGGGGAGAACAATGTCGACTTGGCCACGTGATCAGGAAAATTGGAGTGCTCGGATTCTTACCTCCCAATGTTGTAGGTAATAAGAATTAGTTTATGAATTCAATTTTAACAATGTTTTACTTTAAAACGTACCAGAAATTTTAAATCTATATTATGAAAAATAGTACAATCTTAAATTTTTTGTAAAGTTTCTTGTGAAACCCAATAGTGCGTTTTTAATAATTTAGCTTTACCTACAGTTATACAGGCTGTTGATGGTTTTGACAGAGAAAGCGTAAGAACCCATAGAAAAAATTGTAATATAAAATGTCACTGTTTGTGTTGATTAAGTGAAAGTAAATCCCTTGAATTATCCACACCCATTTTAGTTGTTTACCCACAAAGAACGTAATATGTTAATAGTATATTCTTTCACTAAGTTTCAGGACAAAAGCAGATTTATCTTAAAAATTATTTTTTTCTTTGTCTTTTAGAACTTATTTAGAAAAAATATTGTCATCTGTCATCTATAATTAGCATAAAAAAATGAAAAAGAAAACAGATAGGTTTAAGAAACTGGTTTTTGTAATAGAGTATTTTATAAAGCCAATAAATTAGGCTTTTAAAAAGGTAGACATTAAATTTATAATTATTTAAACATTCTTTTTCTCAGAGCAGTGTTTTTTGAACTACAGAAACACCAATCGAGTGAGGAGGGAGCAGCACATCCACCCTGGCCTGAATGTGTGGATGAACTATGTTTGGAACAATTATATCGCTCCTGGTAAGGTTATTATTGTTAATCGTTTTTGTTTTGTTTTTCGATAGCTTTCAAAAACGCTTTTGGTTATAATAAGAAAAAAATATCGTTTTTAAGAATGACGCTTGATTTAGAATTATCTGAAAACGAATAATAATCATAATTAAAAATAGTCATTTTGATTAAAACAATTTACGAGCGTGTTCTATACCTTGTTTGTTTTTAAAAAAACGTTAGTACTGGGGGAAAGAATTGGGCCTTTAACAATCGTTAATGAATCGTAGTCTTAATGATAGTTAACGAAGGGTTGTCTTTAATGATAGTTAACCGATGGTCGTCCTTAACAATAGTGAACAAAAGGTCGTTGTTTTAAGTTATTAACGAAGGTGCGTCGTTAACAATCGTTAGCAAAATAACAAGCTTTCTGAAAAAGATCGCTTTTTTATCGTTTAAAAATTACAATTTATAAAGAATGATGTTTTAATAACGATCATTTTAAAAAATTTATACGAGTGTTTTGTCGTGCTCCCAAACATTTCTTTCCTGTAAACAAGAAATGTTTCAGAATTGGGCAGTAGACAAAGTAGGGAAAAGACTTTAAAGTAGTAGTAAATGAAAAGGAATATAGGATTATTTTTTTGATGACCCTTAGGGTCCCTGCTCGGGCACTAAAGTTTGAAAAGCGGCCGTTTTTATTGCGATCTTAACGATTTTTCAAAGCCTGAGCAGAAGTAAAGATTTTCAAAACAAAAATACCGTCATGATTTCCATATCTTACATCAATCCTAAGGCTTATATACCTACAAAGTTGGACATATACATCCATACTCAAACCCTATATACCTAGACAGTGAGACATATCATTCATCCTTTCACAGACATATACCTAAACAGTGAGACATATCATACATCCTTTCACAGACATATATACCTAGACAGTGAGACATATCATTCATCCTTTCAGACAGATATATACCTAGACAGTGAGACATATCATTCATCAATACTCAGACCCAATATACCTAGACAGTGAGACATATCATTCATCCATAGTCAGACCCTATATACCTAGACAGTGAGACATATCTTTCATCCATAATCAGACATATATACTTAAGACAGTAAGACATATCTTTCAGCCATAATCAGACCTATATACCTAGACAGTGAGACATATCATTCATCCTTTCACAGACATATATACCTACACAGTGAGACATATCATAGGTATATATGTCTGAGAACGGATGTATGATATGTCTCACTGTCTAGGTATATATGTCTGAGTGGATGAATGATATGTCTCACTGTCTAGGTATATATGTCTGAGTATGGATGAATGATATGTCTAATTGTATAGGTAAACATGTCTGAGTATGGATAAATGATATGTCTCACTGTCTAGGTATATAGGTCTGATTATGGCTGAAAGATATGTCTTACTGTCTTAAGTATATATGTCTGATCATGGATGAAAGATATGTCTAACTGTATAGGTATTTATGTCTCAGTACGGATGTATGATATGTCCAACAGTTTAGGTATATATGTCTAAGTACGGATGTATGATATGTCCAACTGTCAAGGTATATATGTCTGAGTATGGATATACGTATGATATGTCCAACTCTGAAGGTGTATAAGCCTGAGAGGAAAGAAAAAATTAAGATTGCTTGATGTATAAGGTCACTGCATTGGCTTTAAAAAATCGTTTACAAAAACGACCGTTTTTCAAACTTCAGGCCCCGAGCAGGGACCTGTCCCTTAGGGTCATTACAAACAAAATTGTTTAATAAACTTGTCCTTGGGCTACCACTCTTTTCTGTACCAAAAAATAACCAATATTGCCAAAGGCTAGTGCATGTGTGACTCTGATACAAAAAAAAATCAATTTAATTCCAAACAAATCATTAAAATATTACAAACCTAAAATCGTCGTTAATTTTTCGACGTATTCATATATAGTTGATATTTCATAATATTTTATTTGACGGTTGGAAATATAATTGGATAACAACTTTGGCCATAAAAATAAATCTGCCGCAGAACAATGAGTCCTGAATGTGAATCTGGCCTAATGTATCATGAACCTGATAAATTAATATGCCTAATAGATACTAAACGTGAAAAATTAAAATAAATAAATCTGTCGCAGAACAATGAGTCGTGAGTGTGAACCTGGCCTAATGTATCATGAACCTGATAAATTAAAATGCCTAATAAATAATAAACGTGAAAAATTAAAATAATAATAATGTAAAAGGATGATAAAAATTTTAAGAGTGTGAAATAGAACGGGATATTAAACCATACGAATATTAAACATAAAAGTTAAAATAAATAATAATGAAAAGGGATTATAAAAATTTTAAGCGTGTGATATAGAACGGGATATTAAACCATACGAATACTAATGAATGTTGTATCTTTGAAGTGTGGACACAAAATTGACCGATAATCCTTAATGTCTTAAACGGTAGGAGTAATTATTAAAGACCTTGATAGTTAGGAGTACAATTCGGTTAAACCTTGAAGCTTGGAAAATTAAGAAAGGATAAAAATCCGTGTAGCTTGATCACAAAAATTGAATCCTAGAAAGTGGGGCGTGATATTGAAGCATTAAAAGTCCTGTACATAAGCTGAGCAGGAACATCCAGATTTTGTTTTAATACTTCAACTATTTTAAAATTGAATATGCAGGAGGACTATTTAACCCCCAGTCAAAGAAGCTTTGAATAATAAAATGTGAAACTTGAGGATAAAAATGTGCAGTAAGCCCTAAAACTAAATTTGTTATACTGATTTGAACCTCGAATGCAAGACTGGGTAAAAGTTCATACATTTTTAACTAGAAAAGGGAGATAAAATCACATCTGAATTGAGAAGCTTGTTGTAAACTGTATTGCGGTAGTTGAGGCTAGTGCATAGTCAATGATTGACTGGTGAAGATGCTGACCCATATCCCGCTGGTAGGTGAATTTCTCCTCTTTCTTACCCTTCCACTCCATTCCATTAAGACAATAGAGCTGGTTTCGTTTTGCAAACTCTGTAACTAGCTTTCCATTGTTATTTGCTTCGTGGGGGTAGCTGTTGAACTGGAAATTTGGTCCTGGTTCAATTCTTGCGTTAAAATCTCCCAGTATACCTATGGAATAGCCCAAGGATTCTAGATGAGCTTTTTCTTTCTCCAGATGATCCAGCAGTTCTACATTTGACTTGTATAGATCCGAGTTCTTTGGGCTCTCAACTCTTAGATACAAGCCACAGCACGCTATCCGCGCTCGCTGGTCATTGATGAGGACCCATGAACGCTCACATCCCATCCATGATGGTGATGATTTTAGGCCTTCCCAGGGTAAGATAGCTTTGCCTGTATGCTCCCTTGACCAGAGTACCAGACCTCCAGTTTGTGAATCCTCTCTCAATGACTCTGTGCAGGTGAACCCCTTAATGTCGAAATCAATCGTTCTCATTCCCTTCTGGTGCTTAACTTCCGCTGCAAAGATGAACAACAACTGAGGGTCCCTTACTGATACATCTGAGATTTCGTCTAATTTGGCCTTGGTGAGACCATCTACGTTGCAGTACATTCCCCGGAACTCATTCTCTCTGTTATTATTTGCCATGATCTGAAACATACAAATAGATTAAATTATATCATTTTTCAAGTTTTTATTCATATTTTATGAATTGGCTGGGACTTTAAATGTTGTGAAGAGTTTTTTGAAGCATATTAGATTCTAATTGTAAATGATGTATTTTTTCACTCAAAAATAAAGATTACGTAGTTTTGCACAGATGAATTAATTATATAAAAAGCTCATTCTCTACTGGGGATCATATTTGTATAAGTAAACCATTATATGAGGACTGCATATTGAAGAGAAATATCATATACTAGGACAGAACCATTAATATAAAAGGAAATTTTTTTCCACTTAGTAGGAAATACCATTCTGCATTATATTAATTAATTATTTAAAATGATCATTCTACGTTGTAGATGATATCTGCATTATGAGGCAAAAAAGAAATAAAACGAGTACTGAGTTTATAACTGAGGATTGGTCCCCGATTTACTCCGGGTCTTCTATTGAGCTTCAGATTTGTGCCAGGTATTCAGCCACTCTCTGTGATATTCCTTCCATTTGCTCATCCTCTTCCTCTTGTGAAGCCTCATCATCCCCCTTATGAGGGGAGGAGCTAATTCTAGAGTCCTGATGGGCTGATCCTTCATCATGAGCTCCGGGTGCCTGCTTTTCACCCGGGAAATTGCATGAAATCACTTTGTAGGATGGGGTGTTGCCACTTCTCTTCCTTTTCACCGTTATAACCAGTTCCTCCTCTTCATCTCTCAGCGACGGGCGCGATGCTAAGACGCCAAAAATGTTGTGGGATTTCTCTACTAATGATACTATTTTGTCCTGGGACATAGCCAGTTTCAGGGACTCACTCTCCTCATCTCTATCCGGGACGTCGATCCAAAACTTTAGTAAAACCTGCTCCATCTGCTTCCTAACATCATCTCCTGATACCTTGCCGCTCTTTTTCTGCTTCTTCGACTCGGACCACATTTTAACGAACGCCTGTTTCATCTTTCCATACAATCTTGAACGTTTTTCCTCGTTTTTCCCCTTATCCTCGATCTGCCGTGTCATCTCATTCAATCCTGCAATTAGCTGTTTGTTTTTCACATCTTCCTGAACTAATTGTGTTGACATCAGCTCCATGGTTGCTCTTAGTCGAGTTTCAGTCAGCTTGTGATCTGCTAGCTTTTGACGTAGCTCAGCCATGTTCCCGCTCGTTCCTCGCCCAATCTCTAGCCTGAGCCTTGCGATCTCATCAATTAACTCCTTGTTCTTCTCCTTGATCACCAGGGTTGCTTTAATATCCTCCCTAGCCGACTTGAAGTCCTCATGTAGAGATTTAATTAAGGACTGGTTCTCTTCATCTTTTTTAATTAACCGTTGGTTCTCTTCTCTCACTTTAGCCAACTCGTTCCTGATCGTCTGCTCCGAGGCCTCCATAAACCTCACCTTTCTCATATCATTCAAATCTGAAACAGATATTGTTGTGAAAAACAAATAAATATAGTTAAAATGACAAGCATTATTGTGAAAAACAAATAAATATAGTTAAAATGGCAAATATTATTGTGAAAAACAAATAAATATAGTTAAAATGACATATCTCAATCAATGTTATAAGATTGATATACTCAATAGGCCTATATTATCAATTGGATGGTTTTAAATATGATGGCTCAGCACAACATTTTAAGCATAATACTCAATTAAAGCTATTGTTTGTAATGCGGAACTATTAGATTATAAATATTTAAAAATAATTAGATAGTACGGTTAAATAGTGTTAACATAGCTACGTGATAGTTGTATTAAAAAATAACACGGTGGTTAAATTTTAGTATAAATATATAATCTGGGACTAGATATCGCTAAAAAGCTCAACCAGCCTCTTCTCTCCATCCTCCGCTTCTCTTCCTAGGGCGTCAATGTCCTCGCATAGGCACTTATGACCTATGAGCCTCTCGAGCTTAGCCGAGTTCACTATGCTCATGCCCTCCAGCTGCCGCTCCAACATGTCTAGAACCGTCGATGAGCTTAAATCTCCTGAGCTGGGCCTGCCTCTGATTGCATTTTCTAGTTTAATCCTCAAGTCCCCCACCTCCTGTTTGAGGGCTATCTCCCTAGCCTCCAGATCTGCCACCTTCCTCTGTTCCTTACGGAGATCTTCTTTGAGCTTGTTGACCTCTGTGGATGTTTCTCCGGAGAGGGAGACGCCAGAGTCATCTAGGATGGACTCCGGGTTTTGGGCCCGACCCGTTAGACCTGCAGCTGCACTGAACAATTCTGCTGTATCACTGCCCATTCGTTTGGTCAAGAAAGCCCTCATCGTTCCGGTTTTAAAAGCTTGTTAACCGAGGTGTTCCTCCCCTTGTTTTAAAGAAAAAGTGGAATTACAAATTGGAGCCTTGTAACCCGTATAAATTTATAATAAGGAAAAATATAGCCCGCTGATATATACTTGCAAGTTGTAAATATGACTGAGTGTGCACCTTGGAGCTTGGAAGTAACAACCTGAAGGTATACATGAGCAGTCAGACCCTGAAGACTTGATAATAAACCAAATAACAAGCTTAAAATTTAAAGTTGAAATGACCAAGGACACTGATAATCGAAAAATAAATAAATAATAAGCTTAAAATTTAAAGTTGAAATGACCAAGGACACTGATAATCGAAAAATAAATAAATAATGGAGTTTTTTTTTTAAAAAACTGATTAATATGATCTTTAAACAAGAGGGTGAATCTGACTAATAAAAAATCCTGGGATTTGCAATTATAGCTGAGCAGTAAAGCCATAAAACTCGAAGACGAAACTGACTATTAGGCTTTAATAATTGGGATCAGTAATAATAATAATAGCAATATAGTAATGGAACTTGAAAAACATGATACATAGCCAAACTTAAAAATTGATAGTGGACAGAAAAAATAAAAAAACTTCCTGGAGGTGTGAAGACAGAGATTTGTTTCCAAGGACACTGAAGATTGGGAAATAAACAAATAATAGAGTCTTAAAAACTGATTAATATGATCTTGAAACATGAGGACTAATCTGACTGGTAAAAACCCTGTGATTTGCAATTATAGCTGAGTAATAAAGCCATAAAACTCAAAAACGGCACTGACTAATAAGCTTTAAAAATTGGGAAATAAACAAATAAGAGAGTCTTAAAAACTGGTTAATATGATCTTGAAACATGAATATAAGACTGGGTAATAAAATCTTTAACTCATGTGTGGACACTATGTCTTATAATACGGGGGGAACACCACCACTCGAAATGATCGATGCTTGGGAGAATATGTTATTGTCGGCAAAATAAGTGAATAACTCCAGAGTGGTAATTACCGATTTACCCAACTCCTTGTTAACATCTATCACAACGTTTCTATCTCCGAACCACTCCTTCTGTTCCTTTATCATGTCCCCTCTCACAGCATCAGCTAGGTCTCTGTCTTCTGAATGACCCCTCAGCTCCATCCCGTTTGATTCTGCTAGCTGGCGGACGTTGGGGAAGTGCCCTGCGATTTTATCCCATACATATGAGCACACATAGGATCCCTTGAACATGCTGCGCGCCTGATCCTTGCACTGAACTCCTAGTACAGAATTGAAACAATTACGGCGTTCCGCCATCACTTTACCGGACCCTCACAGATCACTAATCATGACATGATTCTGAAAGAGGAAGTATAATTTTAGGATTCTGATAAAAACTACGCATGTTCTGATAGGGTTATTATTCCTCGTGAATCTGTAGTAAGATGATTATAAATCAAAACTAATAGTCGCCTTACTCAGGTGCTGGTTGCCTTAAAACTCTTAAAGTTTTGAGGCGAGTCGTAGATCGAGATTTTAATCTAGTCAAGTAATGAAACATGTTTTAAGCTATCAGGTATTAAATCTTTTTAATACAATCCAGTTTTATGTTATTTGATCAAAAATTAGTTTAGATTTGATTAAAGTATTTTTGAAAGTGGTTTGAATTATTTGGAAAAGACAAATCCTAGTAAATTATCAAGTTCAAATGTGTTTGTTTAGAACCAGTATTGAGTAATATTTGCATAGTTAAAAGAGAGAAACGACAATCGAAAACATACCTGAAATACAAAGTATACAGGGTGGCCAAAATGTACGGATTGTACGGATTGTACGGATTGATTTTTTTTTTACCCTAAAATTGTACGGATTGTACGGATTGCACGGATTGTACGGATTTGTTTTCAANCCCCCCTCCCCCACTGGTTCCAGGCTTAGTGATCTATTTAGATACATTTTAATTCCAGACCTTCCCAAATTTAAAGAGAAGAAGATTATCTAAGGTATTTTCCTATTGAACTAAAAATGTAAATATTCATTAGTTGTGCAGTTTTTAGTTAAAATGATCACTTCTCTCGTCTCCCGCGAATAGAATTTATAATAGGGTGTATTTTTAGGCGGGCGGGACAGCTTCTGAGAATTTAATAACTTGGCGCGGCAAAACCAAGCTGCGTCCATCTGATTAAATGAGTCTCGGACGTTCAGAAAAAACAGTTTACAATAATTTAATATCTTGACGCGGCAAAGTTAAGCTGCACCGACAAACCCTGCCGTTTAGTTTAAGGTTTGATATATTAATGCTGTCCTTCCCGACCGAATTATACAGAGTTTAGAGAAGGGAACGCGATAATCCGGAACTGACAGCCTTCAAAGTATTTAATGTTATGTTAGAGATTTGGTAGTCTATTAGTTCCCCTCTCCATACTCTCTGAGATGATAATATTATAAGCAAAATCTTAGCTGCCACCACAGAGCTCAGGAACCTCGCCGAAAGCGCCCCCAGGTGACTGTATGGCCCTTGACAAAGAAAAGCCATGATAGGTCTATAATTTGCTCAACTTAACTGCTAAAATTAGTAATCTTAGTAATTAAAAACATAATGGGGCAATTTCTCATATACAATAAGACCTTTATTTAAAGAAAAGCTAATTTCAGACTTATGTTAAAGATCGCGCAGCATAGGGGATTGGGGTTGGGGATTGAGAAATTTTGTTTATACAACAAGACCTTTATTAAATAAAAAGCTAGGGTGGGATATAACAGTCATATATTTAGCGGAATTATTGGGGTGGGGGATTGAGAAATTTTGTATATACAACAAGACCTTTATTTAATAAAAAGCCAGGGTGGGATATAACAGTCATATATTTAATGGCATTTATTGTGGTGGGGGATTTTGTATATACAACAAGCCCTTTATTTAATAAAAAGTTAGGGTGGGATATAACAGTCAAATATTTAATGACATTTATTGAGGTGAGGGATTTGGAAATTTTGTATATACAACAAGACCTTTTTAAAAAAAAATATGAGTGGGATATAGCAGTCATATATTTAAGGACATTTATTTGTGTAAGGGATTGGGAAATTTTGTATGTACAATAAGACCTTTATTAAATAAAAAGCTTGGGTAGGATATAACAGTCATATATTTAGGGGCATTTATTGGGGTGGGGGATTGAAAATTTTTTATATACAACAAGACCTTTATTTAATTAAAAGCTAGGGTGGGATATAACAGTGGGATATATTAAGGGACATTTATAGGGGTGAGGGATTGGGAAATTTTGTATATACAACAAGACCTTTAATAAATAAAAAGCTAGGGTGGGATATAGCAGTCATATATTTAAGGACATTTATTTGGGTGGGAGGTTGAGAAAGTTTGTATATACAACAAGACCTTTATTTAATAAAAAGCTAGGGTGGGATATAACAGTCAAATATTTGGAACATTTATTGGGGTGGGGGATTGGAAAATTTTGTAAATACAACAAGACCTTTATTTAATAAAAAGCTAGGGTGGGATATAGCAGTCATATATTTAAGGACATTTATTGGGGTGGGGGATTGGAAAATTTTGTAAATACAAGACCTTTATTTAATTAAATGCTAGGGTGGGATATAACAGTCATATATTTGAGGGCCTTTATTGGGGTGAGGGATTGAGAAATTTTATAAATACAACAAGACCTTTATTAAATAAAAAGCTAGGGTGGGATATAACAGTCATATATTTGAGACATTTATTGGGGTGGGGATTAGGAAATTTTGTATACACAACAAGACCTTTATTAAATAAAAACTAGGGTGGGATATAACAGTCATATATTGATGGGCATTTATTTGGGTATGGGATTGAGAAATTTTGTATGTACAACAAGACCTTTATTTAATATAAAGCTAGGGTAATATATTTGGGACATTTATTGGGGTGGGGATTGGGAAATTTTGTACATACAAAAAAGACCTTTATTTAATAAAAAGCTAGGGTTGGATATAGAAGTCAAAGATTTAAGGACATTTATTTGGGTGGGAGGTTGGAAAATTTTGTAAATACAACAAGACCTTTATTTAATCAAATGCTAGGGTGGGATATAACAGTCATATATTTGGGGGCATTTATTGGGGTGAGGGATTGGGAAATTTTGTACATACAACAAGACCTTTTTTTAATAAAAAGCTAGAGTGGGATATAGCAGTCATATATTTAAAGACATTTATTTGGGTAAGGGATTGGGAAATTTTGTATGTACAACAAGTCCTTTATTAAATAAAAAGCTAGGGTGGGATATAGCAGTCATATATTTAATGACATTTATTGGGGTGGCTGATTGGGAAATTTTGTATATACAACAAGACCTTTATTTGATTTGATCAAAAGATTATTAAACATGATTTCGAAAATATTTATCTTCCCTTTAATTATAATATATATACAATCTACATATCTAATTATCTATTTTCTACCTATGTAGCAAATATAGAGGCCCATAGTAAATTACGTTGTACCTTGTTCATTTAGCTAAATGTGTCATTTGTAAATATGTAAATCATGTATTGCGATTAACCCATTCTGTGTACGTAGATTTAAATAACTCCGCTATACCCATATTGTGATTGTTTAACTACGTTATATATAACAGCTTATAACTTGTAATTACGCGGTTAAGGACCCAATTCTAATCTAAACTGAAGAAATCCCTGTTTTGATAAACAGGTTGAAAATCGTCCCCTTTAATTTGGGAGCGATAGTTGATAGCTTGTTTGATAGATTGGCTTGTGTCCGTGTGTGGCATATAGAGCACGATTAATAACTTGTTTAATAGCTACGCTTTTGTCCCTTCGTGGCATTAGAGCTCGATTAATAGCTTGTTTGGTAGCTACGCTTGTGTCCCTGTGTGGCATTTAGAGCCTGCCTGATTGATAGCTTGTTTGATAGCTACCGAGATCGCGCCCAGTGGTATTGGCGTTGATAGTTCACTGCATTGTAACAGTGTGGACCGTGTCCTGGTTGACTTTGACCTATCTATCTGTTTACATATCTACGTACCTATATGTATACCTATCTACCTACCCATCTTCCTATCCATCTATCTACATATCAGATCTACCTATATCTATATATCTACCTATCTACATATCTACCTATCTACCTATCTACCTATCTACCTGTCTACCTATTTACCTATCTACATATCCACCTATCTACCTATCTCCAAATCTACCTATCTACCTATCTACCTATCTACATATCTACCTATCTACCTATCTACCTTTCTACCTATCTACCTATCTACCTATATACCTATCTATCTATCTACATATCTATCTATCTACCTATATACCTATCTACCTATCACGTATCTACCCATCTACCTATCTACCTATCTACCTATCTACCTATCTACCTATCTACCTATCTACCTATCTACCTATCTACCTGATATTATCCGAGATATCTGTACCCTCCCAAACCCATCTAAACTTGAGTTCTATCCTTGGGTTTTTACATGGCTAGAGGTTTGAACTCAACCCAAGGGTTAGAACCAAGGTTATGAATAAAAGGTAAAGCAACAGCAACAGTGTTTAATTCCTTTCAAAAAGTTTTTTCATTTCTTTACAATGTAGCAAAAGCTACGCAATTTAATCGATAAACAATCCTTATAACATGTTTTATTTTTTACTTTAACTTTGCCTTCCTACACTTTATATATTTGCTGTCAAATGTCTCTTGTTGCCAAGATGTCGGCCTTGTACTTTAAAAGCTTACAGTGTGAGGTCTATAAGCGCTAATTTTTGTCGCTTTGGGCCCCCCCCCCCTTAATATTAACAAAATTAGGTTTTAAGTGTTCAAGTTTAAGTTATAACATTTTAATGTGTTAAAAATTTATTCAATAAAAAACATTTCATTGAATCACACATATTTGTGTGAAAATATGTGCCTTATCGGTTTATCTATATCTCAACAACCAGATCATGCATACCTTTCATATTTCAAACTTACATTGTTTGATCCACCAGAGTTCATAGTTTGAAATATCTACGGTCTACGACATTTGGTTTTAAAGAAATTGGGTTTTAAAAATCCGAGTTTGTGGCAAAGACTCAATTCCTTTATAGTTAAAAAGTTAAAGTTAGTTTTTCGAGCAAAGGAATAAATTTTAGACTCTATAAGGTTAGGAACACCCAAAAATGTAGTCTTTTTGGTGTATTTTTATGGTGTTAATTGACTTTTTGAACAAATCAATTCCAGGGGGGGGCAAAAAACAGCCAGGGGGGGCCAAAAAAAAATTTTTCACGCTTCGTGCAAAATCTTGCCCCCCCTGGCTAAAATCCTGTGTACGCGCCTGTTGGGGTGGGGATTGGGAAATTTTGTATATACAACAAGAACTTTAGTAAATAAAAAGCTAGGGTGGGATATAACAGTCATATATTTAAGGACATTTATTGGGGTGGGGGATTGGGAAATTTTGTATTTACGACAAGACCTTTTTTTAATAAAAAGCTAGGGTGGGATATAGCAGTCATATATTTAAGGACATTTATTTGGGTAAGGGCTTGGAAAATTTTGTATATACAAGACCTTTATTAAATAAAAAGCTTGGGTGGGATATAACAGTCATATATTTAGGGGCATTTATTGGGGTGAGGGATTGAGAAATTTTGTATATACAACAAGACCTTTATTTGCTAGGGTGGGATATAACAGTCATATATTTAGGGGCATTTATTGGGGTGGGGGATCGAGAAATTTTGTATTTACAACAAGACCTTTATTAAATTAAAAGCTAGGGTGGGATATAACAGTCATATATTTAAGGACATTTATTGGGATGGGGGATTGGGAAATTTAGT